TGGCACTTGTCGTTTAGAAGTAGTTCTTATATGCTACTTGCCGACAAGTTTAGAGTTTATCACTTACCATTTAAGTATAGTAGCTCCTTCCCTTTCCTAGAAAAAGGGTTACTAGTCGTCGGTTCTTTCAAGGATAAAATGTTTTCTTTGGGTGCTAGTAGTCCTTCCTTTAAGTCTTCCTTGGTCCTGTCGGTCTTCTCCAAATTTTTCGACAAAAAGTGGGTGATTTGGCTTACCCTCTCCAAAAGATTGGCATTGTTTACCTTCCAAATTTAGAAGTACCCAGGAATGCAACCACGTGCCTTGTTTATTGGTGGATATATGACGCGATGTAGTCTACGGATACGGGACCTCCACATGACTGGGATCAGGTCTATAGCAGCGTCCAGAATTGGTCGGTAGTCGGATAATAATTTGTTGGATTTTGTAGTCGAGATATACAAATGTTGCAGTTATAAAATTTTTTCTTAAACCTGGCACAAATTATAATAGTGTATTTTTCTTCGTTCTATTTGTACTGCTTTTTGATAGAGGTAGTTTTCTTTGTTGGCCCTCAGGCTTTTCTCTTTGATTTCTTTTTTTACATTTCATTGTACCCCTTTTATTTTTTCTTTAAAATTCCCCCTTCGTTTTATTTGTTTTTTTTAGTAAGTGTTTCGTTTTGTCTTTTTGATAGTATTGGTGGTTTTGTATTGGATATAAGATCGTCACTTTCTTTTGCTCTTAGTAAAGAAAGAGAATATAAAGGGAAAAGCTTTGATGGGCTGACAAAGTTTATCTAACTTATATACAAGTTGGTGTGACAAGTTGCATGTAGGCATGTTTATCGCAGCCGGGTGATGTTAGGCTTGCAATCGCTAGACGCCGTTTATGGTTATAAATGATATGTATTGTTTAAGAGAGTTCAACTCTTATCTAAATATAGTCTTAAATAAATTAAGCACTGGCAAGACTGTCAAAGAATTAAAAAAAAAAAAAAAAAAAAGCAAATAGTTATTTTTTAAATTGATTTTTTTATTAAATATTTATGAATTCTTTATAATTTTTTTTTTACAAAATTAGTAAAAGCTATATGGGGGTGAGTCAGTAGAAATGAGACAAATTTATTAGATAAGTTTGTCCCATTTCTACTGACTCACCCCCATATCTTTAAAATAAAAAAAATTTAATTAGATTATATAAGTAAAATTTTTAAAATTATTATAAAGGCAAAAATACAATAGCAACCTATCGCTATGCGACCTTTTTATAATCGACCAATCATTTTAGAGATTGGCGATCATATATAACTAAGTTTTTTTGTATATTGTGATAATCTTTTTTTTTTTATTTGTTTTTATTTGTTTTTTTATTTGTTTTTTTTTTTATGCTTTACTAATTTTTTTTTTTATATTTTGAATTCAGTTTCAGTTTCTTTACTAGTGTCGTTGTTAGTATCTTTGTCAATATCGTTGATGTCATCGTTGGTGTTGTCACATTGGTGTCATCGTTGGTGTTGTTATGTCATTGTTGGTGTCATGTTGTCAGTAGTTAAAGCATCTTGGTGGATTCTTGATGAACAAGTATCTTTGTTTGTCGTTGGTGTTGTAGGCTTTTGGTAGTTTGTTTTTTACAGGTTTTGTTGCTGGTCTTATCATTGTTGTAGTTGCTTAGGTTGGTTTTTTATTAATATACTTTTTTTTCATTGAGTTTGTCGCTAGTATTATATCATCGTTGGTGTTGTATTGTATTGTGTTGCCATTATTGGTATTGTGTTGTTGTCATTGGTGCATAGTTTTTTAGGATTTTTGGTAAGTAGTTTGTTTTTTTTTGTTTTTTTTTGTTTTTTTTTCATTGGGTTTGTTGCTAATATTATGTCATCATTGGTGTCGTGTTGTGTTATGTTGCTGTCATTTGTATCGTGTTCCTGTCGTTGGTGTCGTGTTGTCATCATTGGTGAAAAGTTTTATAGGATTCTTGTAAGTAGTTTTTTTTTTTTTTTTTTTTTGTTGGGTTTGTTGTTGGTATTATGTTGTCGTTAGTGTCGTGTTGCCGTTGTTTGTATCATATTGTCATTGTTGGTGTCGTGTTGTCATTATTGATGCAAGTTTCTTGTAATTCTTGGTAAGTAGTTGTTTTTTGGTGGGTTTTTTTTGGTTTGTCACTGGTATTATGTCGTTGTTTGTGTTGTGTTGCTGTTGTTTGTGTCATGTTGCTGTCATTTGTGTTATATTGCCATTGTTGGTGTCATGTTGTTTATCATTGGTGTATAGTTTTTTGGGATTCTTGGTATGTAGTTTGTTTTTTTTTGTTTTTTTTTTAAATTTTTATTAATATGCTTTGGGTTTTAAATTCTTTTGTTGATTCAGAAGGATTCATTTATAGTTTAGGTGAGTTTTTTGTGTTATTTTGGGTTCGTAAGTTTTTTTTTCTTAATAATCTTTTTTTTTTATTATATATATTCTCTTTTTTGGTATTTAAGTTGTGGTGTTGCTCTTTGAATTGTTGTTGAAGTTGTTGTTGGAGTTGTCATTGGAGTCATCATTAGATTGGTATTTCTCTTTGGATAAGTAGGTCTTGTGCACTTTATATCTGCCTTTCGTTGTTGATTTCGATTTATTTGTTGTATCGCTTGTCTTGGATACGATTTTGTAGTTGTCTTTGGTGTGTAAATTAGACTTGTACTTTTTTTGGTTTTTTTTTCTTTCTTAACATAATAAATACAAATTTTTATAAGTTAGATGTGCAGATTGTTATATAAATTAGAGCATTGTTTTTTTTTTTTTTTCTTAATATGTATTTATTATAATAGGACCCCAGACATCTCTCATATAGATCATAACTGATCTGTGTAAATTTGGAGGGTTTTTGCTACCCCTAAAATCAAGTGAATTCACTTAAAATTCAATATGACATATAAATTTTATAGTAATTCGCTGAAAATTCCATTATCACATATATATTTATAAAAAAAAATAAATTTAGATGTATTTTTGAGTGCTGAAAAAGTTTACTTAGAACATAAAGTTATAATCAATTAGTAAA